GCAATGATCAAATATAAACTCAAACGAGCACTAGTATTCATTTTTGTCCCAGAAATGCTGGACTCATGGGATGAACAACTAAACAAATCTTGTTCATTTGCTTGGGGTTACACAGATCATGCACACCGGAAAAAAGCATCTCCATGCGGAAACGCTACAACTTTTACATGGAAACAGGCAGTGGCATGAACTATATAACCCCCCTAGTACGAAAAAAGCTTCACTCATTAGTGCAAAAAATGCACCATTATTGATAGACAAGAATACACTGCACTAATACTGATACTAGTTCATCAGTCCAACAGGCGCAGCTCAAGAATTTGCTTTCGATGTTGCCTCCAATCTCCCGGCAAGTAGCTTCACTACATACTTCCCCAGTATGTCAGCCTCAAGGTTCACCTTATCCCCAACCTTCTTCCTGGGCAGCACAACATTGTCCTGCGTGTAGCGCACAAGCATGAAGTCGAACCACCCCTCCTCCTCGTTCACATTGACGACGGTGAGGCTGGTCCCGTCCACGGCGACGAACCCCTTGGGCACGAGCAAGCTGAGGATCTCTGGCGGTGCGCGCACGGTGACCCAGATAGAATCGCCCTCGGGCCGGAACGCGGCGATCTCGCCGGTGCCGTCGACGTGGCCCTGGACGAAGTGCCCGCCCATGCGAGACGCCGGCGTGAGCGCGCGCTCGAGGTTGACGTCGTCGCCCGCGACGCGCTCGCCGAGTGACGTGCACCGGAGGGTCTCCGGCGCGACGCCGAAGGTGAGCGTGGAGGCAGCGGTGTCGATGGCCGCCACGGTGAGGCACGTCCCGTCGACGGCGATGCTGTCGCCTAGCTGCGTCCCGGCGAGGAGGTTCTTGGTCTCGACCTCGAGGTCGACACCGGGAGCGTCTCCCCCGCTCCCACCCCCGCCCCCAGTAGGCGTGGGCGGCGGGCCGATGCGGCGCACGCGGCCGACCTCCTCGACGATCCCGGTGAAGAGATAGCGGACGGGGATGTGGGAGGCCGAGGAGGAGGAGATGCTCTTGGGGACGGGGGAGAGCGAGAAGCGCAGGGGCTGGGCGCGGAGCGGCGTGGAGGAGGCCACCCGGGAGGCGAAGGGGAGCAGCGGGGACGAAGCGGGCAGGAGGCCCCTGCGGAGGATGTGCGGGTGGCAACGGACGGCCGCGGCGGCGGTGGGCAGCGGCGCCATGGCCAGATCCTTGTCGCCTGGATTGGGGAAGATTTAGGATGGGGTTAGTTCTCGCGACGCGTCAGCCGTGAGCGAGCCAAACTACACGATGATACGTAGGGTAGGCGTATTCCGTGGCATACGTGAACGACGCAAGTTTGCGGAAGGAATGGCCGTCTCGTTTCTGTACGGGTCGGGTTATATAACGTCAGGCCGGGAGAAATCTTCTCTACTACCTAAAAGAAACGTAGTGTGCCGTTTCCCCTCTTACGTTCCCCTTTTCGTCCAACCTCTCGTACTACGACCCCCTCTCTCTGTAGCGATTTTCTGTCCCCCTCCATCGGTTTTCTCCCCTGTAGCGATTTTCTTTCCCCCTCCACCGGTTTTGTCCCTCTGTTTTTGGTAAACGTAATTCACATAAGGTAACGAGACGCAATCAATCCAAACGGAATCAGTTCATGCATGGCAATCAATTCATTAATGACGGTCATCAAACTCCTTTCTTCGTCCACCCCCTTCACAGATTTTAATTTCTCTGCACGTTATCATATCGCATCCGATTTTCTGCCTGAAAACCAGCCCACCGATAGGTACTTGCCTTATAAAAATAAAAATAAAATTACTCGCCCTAGACGCAGATCACTCCCGTGCTCCATCGTGACCTGACGGCAAGGAGACGAACCTCGGCCGACCTCGACACCTCTCGCCTCCTCCGCCGATCCGCCACTATTCTTCTCATATGCGTCACAGGTTCGTTCCCTTCCCCTGATTTTTCTCAAATCAAGCAGAAGTGCAAAACAGAGGGCCTTGTCCGGAGGAGAGAAATGGAAAGGCGGGATGGTGGATCATGGTGAGGGGCTGTACACGGGGAGGAGCTCAAAGGAAGGTGCTATCTGCCATGGCTGGGGTGATCATGGTGAGGGTCGTTTGGAGGTGTAGGGAGAGAGTAGAGAGGGATGGGCAGGGGTGGACGCCAGCGTGGGCTTGCTGGCCGCTGCTGCTCACGTATGGGGGAGAGAGAGAAATGTGCATGGCCAGATCAGTTTTGCTCAGAGGCTAAATCATGATGCCGACGAGGAGCAGCAATGGAGTTGTGCACGATTTGCGGCAGATGTGCTACTTCTGCTTCTAGCCCCTTATCCGCTCCTCCCAAACTGAACGAAGCCCCAGGAAGGAGAGAGAGAGAGAGGGGGAGAGAGAGGGGGAGAGAGAGAGGGATTTGTGTGTGTGACAGAAGAGAGAGAGGGGGATTTGTGTGTGTAACAGAAGAGAGAGAGAGAGAGAGAGAGAGAGATTTGTTTGTGTGACAAAGTGATGCCGCTGATGTGCTGCTTCGACTAAAGCGCATACAGAAAGGGGTATGTGTTAATGCTGTTCTGCTAATAAAGTGCATACAAAAGGGGGCATGTGTTAATGTTGTTCTGCTAATGCATACACACAGAGATAGACAAAGGTATGGGCTACCTATGTGAGCGTGTACTGCTACTATTACTTTTAGTTTGCGCTGCTAGGGTGGAGTCCACTGGTATGAGCTACGTATATGAGAACAAGGATAAGCAAGGTCTGTATGATTTTTCATATTAATTTAGTGTCTGATATAAATTGCAACCGAGCTAATTTACATATTGTTGTAAACTTGATATTATCAAATTTCTCACTAATATAATATATATGGACATGTTTGATTACTTTTTCCTGTATTCTCCATGCAATAGTTGTAGTTGCACCGATCATGTTATTTTCATGTGCAAACAACCACAAAAGTAGGTTATAATGGCCTCAAACGAGTTGCGTATTCTTTCATATCTTCACAACGGAATGACGGTGCAATGGCAGTGGAGCTGGAGGTTGAACCCAGGAATAATCATAACCGTGATGAACCTCTTCGTACAACAATGCAGAGTTGAAGGTGAGGCCATGCAATGTTGTCTTATATTCATCGATGCCATAGAATACGGGCATCTTCTGCCACGTGTCATTGTTTTCTACATATACATATTGTGGTGGTGGAGAGAATACATATTGTAGATTACTTTTTCTGGTCTACTATAATATAATATGTGAGCAAACAACAGGGTTGAAATAAATTAGAGAGGAACTGACAATATGCTGTCAATAAGATGGTGCTAAAAGTCAGCGAAGTAGATTAATGACCATTTGATTATTGATCAATATGTGTATATTCTACCGTGTTAAAAAAAATGTGTATATCTTTGTTGTCCCGTAGCAACGCACGGGCATTCACCTAGTTAAAAAAAAACTTGAACTGATACAGCTCGTCGAAATTCAACCTCGACCTCCAAATCTGTGAAATTGATACCATGTGGGAGTACTTACTAATCCCGGTCAATCCTGACCCTCTGTCTATACCCGGGATAAATCTCTACTCCCACCGATTGCATGGTCCCACATGTCATATTTATCTTCCTTCTTCTGTATCCTCCATCTCTCCTGTGTAGCTTGCTTCTCACTTCTTTAATTCTTGGGGCACCATGGCGGTAAGCACCCCACCTGCGTCGGCGTCGGGAACGCCCGCCCGCCATGCTCACGGCTCCAACTCGTCGCTCATGATGCTCTCCAGTCGCCCACTGCCCTCCTCCCGTGCCCCTCATCGTCGACGCTGCCGGCCATTAACGGCTGCAGCTGGCTCTGCAGCTTGCTGTTCGCAGCCATGTGTGTGTGTGGTCTCCTCCTGCACGCATCTTTTTTCTGTGGCCGAGGATGTAGATGCAAATAGGAGCTCGATTTGCTCAGCACTGTCCTGTGTGTGGGTTCTATAAAGCTATGATGGCGGCCGGCAAAAAAATAGGAATTGAGTTGTGGTTGCTAAATGTTTGTTCTGCTCCATGTGCACTCACGCGTCCGGGATGTCTCGGTCCCTGCCGATGTGCGCACCCAAGAGCATTGTCACCATGGCAGGAACTAGAGTCTGATGGAGAGTAGCAACATACCGACACCCCCGGGTTCTGCTATCCAATGCTTATTGGGATGGTACTAGTACATCCTTTTGTGACTTCTTGCAGCATTCACCATAAAAAGATAGTGAGCTGAGCTTGACGAGAAGTGGTTCGAGTTGCATCGCTTGCCTCGGGAGTCGACGTCGTCACCGTCACACACCTCTATCGACATTATCGTCCAAGACAGAGCCGTGCACACGATCTCCAGCCGACCCAACACCACCGGTCGTTGCCATCGAGGTCCGAGCTGCTAGATCTTTGCTCACAGAAGGGAAGGAATGGTCCCGCTGCCTTGCTCAGGGAGCAACCTTACTGTCGACCCTTCTACGGACTCTCCGCTACCACGCGCCCAAACAAGGAAAGCACACGCACAGAGGACTAGGATGAAGATGAAAATGACATGTGGGGCAGAGATTGTCAGTGAGAGTAGATTGTGATCCCGGACGGGATGGATCATTTCCCTGTGCGCCAAACAGTTGTAGGGTTGAGATTGATCGGGATTAACAAGGATAGAGTATACACTTCAAGGATTTAAAAGTGAAGGTTCGTTTTCGACAAACTCTACAACCTCGAGATTTAAAATAGACTTCTTCATGCAAATAACCCAACATCCAAACCCGCATATTGATACTAGCACGCCGCTGACGGCTGGGTCCAGCACGAGCAGAACCCGAGGGCCCACGTACCGATTCGCTCGCGCGTCATCTCTCCTCGCCGCGACTCGTCCAAACCCATTGTCGATTCCCCTCAACCCTAGCCGCCAGCGGCGGCCAGATTTTGCTAGTAACAAGTGCTTATTAGCTTCACCTCCCCCTCCAGCTGCCGCCGCCTGCCATCTCCGGCGACGAGCAGGGCGGAGAAGGAGAACTAGCCATGGCCTCGGTGGCGCCGGAGGTTGAGAAGAAGGAGGAGGAGGAGCAGGTGGTGAACCCGTGGGAGGTGTCGGCGGGGAAGGGCGGCATCGACTACGACAAGCTGGTCGACCAGTTCGGCTGCCAGCGCCTGGACGCCCCGCTCATCGACCGCATCGCGCGACTCACCGGCCGCCCCCCGCACCGCTTCCTCCGCCGCGGCCTCTTCTTCGCCCACCGGTGCTGTAAAAGATAGCCCTAGCTTTTGCCTTCCCAGGCGGCGGCGGAGGTGGAATTGCTGACTCAATCTCGGAACCTTTTTGTGGGCGTGCAGGGATTTGAACGAGATACTGGACATCTACGAGAAGGGGGACAAGTTCTACCTCTACACGGGGAGAGGGCCCTCCTCAGAGGCGTTGCATCTCGGACACCTCGTCCCCTTCATGTTCACCAAGTAAGAAGACTTTGTTGATTCACTGATCACTGTGTTGTTTATCTGGGCAATGCTGCTGCGGTGGAAGCAGCAGGGGAGTAGCGTGCATTCTTGGCTAGAACGAACAGTCCATTGTGCCTCCATTGGTTTGAGAACATGCAGGATTTGTTCTCGATTAGTTACCAGTTTAGTAGACTAGTGAAATTGATATCTTTTCAGTTTGTAGTAGTTTATGTGGTGAATCATGTACCAACAGTGGACTTGCAGAAAGCCTTTAGTTGAACACTACCCTTGAAACTCGGGAGTTAAACATCAGCAATTAGCATGTTTAACGCTAAGTATTTACCTCCTATCCTTCACAAAAACTCTAGCACATAAATATGCTACATTTCATAGTCTTATTTATGCTCTATACTCTACAGGTATTATTTGATAAATCTTGCGTTATCATCTCAGTTCTGATTGTGTAAGTAACCATTGGCAATGCTCATTGACCATAAGAATCTTTCTTCAGATATTTGCAGGATGCTTTCAAGGTTCCTCTGGTGATACAGCTAACTGATGATGAGAAGTTCCTGTGGAAAAATTTGACGGTAGAGGAAAGTAAAAGGCTTGCGCGTGAAAATGCAAAAGACATTATAGCATGCGGATTTGATGTTGAAAGGACTTTTATATTCTCTGATTTTAATTTTGTTGGCGGGTAAGATTAATATCTTAAATTCTAGCCTTGATTGATCTTTTACCTTATGACCTCGTAAATCCTACTCCCTCCGTTCCTAAATATGTCTTTTTAGAGATTTCAAATGGACTACCACATACGGATGTATATAGACATATTTTAGAGTGTAGATTCACTCATTTTGCTCCGTATGTAGTCACTTGTTGAAATCTCTAGAAAGACATATTTAGGAACGGAGGGAGTAGATTAGTTTCTATATAAAAAATAGTAAAGTAATCCTCTTCTCTTTCTTGCAGTGCCTTTTACGAAAACATGGTTAAAGTGGCCAGATGTGTGACATATAATAAAGTGAGAGCTGTTCCATTGATTACACTATTTGTCTATTTGGCATGAGAGAGCTCAGTAGTTTCTGTTCAAGCATTAACGTTGGCTAATATAGTCCGCTCTTGAATGACAGGTTGTCGGAATATTTGGATTCACTCCAGAGGATCACATTGGAAAGATTAGCTTTCCTCCTGTGCAAGCAGTTCCATCATTCCCTTCTTCATTTCCCAAACACTTTTCTGGCAATGACCAACTACGGTGCCTGATACCTTGTGCAATAGACCAGGTAAAAACATATTTTTGGTACAATTGTCCTGTAAACATAATTTGTTACATAATATCTACTTCCTGGCATAACTAGAAATTATCATATATCTCCTAGTAACTAATTTTAGAAGTAACATTCTGCAAGTTTTCGTGCTTTCCAGAATATAACTAATAGTATCCTTCCATTGTGTGCATACTATAGATATGCTTATCCATATGTGAATTTTTAAGAGACCATCTCTGAGTAATTTCGTTAAAAATATGAACTGTTGGTAGATGTTCATGGTTTGTTTCATATCTTCAGTTCCTCATTCAATTCATTTTTCATTCTTCTAGGATCCTTATTTCAGGATGACCCGTGATGTTGCTCCAAGAATTGGTTACCAGAAGCCAGCACTGATTGAGTCAAGATTTTTCCCTGCCCTTCAGGTAAATGTGTTTTCTGAGGAACAATGGTTTAAAGCTTTATGCTTCACTGCATAGAAGTTCAACATGGCACAAAAAATAAGTACATATATGGACAAGGTAGACCTGATGCCCAGGACGCTTATTATCTAAAATCAGTCATTTAATGCCCGACAATTAGGATTTACAGTGAAATGGTTGCTTACATGGTTACATATGAAATATTTCAATTATTGGTAATAATAGCATATTTTTTTGTGGAAAGCTTGTTCCTACAACAACAACAACAAAGCCTTTAGTCCCAAACAAGTTGGGGTAGGCTAGAGGTGAAACCCATAAGATCTCGCAACCAACTCATGGCTCTGGCACATGGATAGCAAGCTTCCATGCACCCCTGTCCATAGCTAGCTCTTTGGTGATACTCCAATCCTTCAGGTCTCTCTTAACGGACTCCTCCCATGTCAAATTCGGTCTACCCCGCCCCCTCTTGACATTCTCCGCACGCTTTAGCCGTCCGCTATGCACTGGAGCTTCTAGAGGCCTGCGCTGAATATGCCCAAACCATCTCAGACGATGTTGGACAAGCTTCTCCTCAATTGGTGCTACCCCAACTCTATCTCGTATATCATCATTCCGGACTCGATCCTTCCTCCTGTGGCCACACATCCATCTCAACATACGCATCTCCGCCACACCTAACTGTTGAACATGTCGCCTTTTAGTCGGCCAACACTCCGCGCCATACAACATTGCGGGTCGAACCGCCGTCCTGTAGAACTTGCCTTTTAGCTTTTGTGGCACTCTCTTGTCACAGAGAATGCCAGAAGCTTGGCGCCACTTCATCCATCCGGCTTTGATTCGATGGTTCACATCTTCATCAATACCCCCATCCTCCTGCAACATTGACCCCAAATACCGAAAGGTGTCCTTCCGAGGTACCACCTGGCCATCAAGGCTAACCTCCTCCTCCTCACACCTAGTAGTACTGAAACCGCACATCATGTACTCGGTTTTAGTTCTACTAAGCCTAAACCCTTTCGATTCCAAGGTTTGTCTCCATAACTCTAACTTCCTATTTACCCCCGTCCGACTATCGTCAACTAGCACCACATCATCCGCAAAGAGCATACACCATGGGATATCTCCTTGTATATCCCTTGTGACCTCATCCATCACCAATGCAAAAAGATAAAGGCTCAAAGCTAACCCCTGATGCAGTCCTATCTTAATTGGGAAGTCATCGGGTGTCGACATCACTTGTTCGAACACTTGTCACAACATTATCGTACATGTCCTTGATGAGGGTAATGTACTTTGCTGGGACTTTGTGTTTCTCCAAGGTCCACCACATGACATTCCGCGGTATCTTATCATAGGCCTTCTCCAAGTCAATGAACACCATATGCAAGTCCTTCTTTTGCTTCCTATATCTCTCCATAAGTTGTCGTACCAAGAAAATGGCTTCCATGGTCGACCTCCCAGGCATGAAACCAAACTGATTTTTGGTCACGCTTGTCATTCTTCTTAAGCGGTGCTCAATGACTCTCACCCATAGCTTCATTGTATGGCTCATCAGCTTAATTCCACGGTAATTAGTACAACTCTGAACATCCCCCTTGTTCTTGAAGATTGGTACTAATATACTCCGTCTCCATTCTTCTGGCATCTTGTTTGCCCGAAAAATGAGGTTGAAAAGCTTGGTTAGCCATACTATCGCTATGTCCCCGAGACCTTTCCACACCTCAATGGGGATACAATCAGGGCCCATCGCCTTGCCTTCTTTCATCCTTTTTAAAGCCTCCTTCACCTCAGACTCCTGGATTCGCCGCAAAAAACGCATGTTGGTCTCATCAAAGGAGTCTCCCAGTTCAATGGTAGAACTCTCATTCTCCCCATTGAACAGCTTGTCGAAGTACTTCCGCCATCTATGCTTAATCTCCTCGTCCTTCACCAAGAGTTGGCTTGCTCCGTCCTTGATGCATTTGACTTGGCCAATATCCCTCGTCTTCCTCTCTCGGATCTTGGCCATCTTATAGATGTCCCTTTCACCTTCCTCCATGCCTAACCGTTGGTAGAGGTCCTCATATGCCCGACCCCTTGCTTCACCAACAACTCGCTTTGCGGCCTTCTTCGCCATCTTGTACTTCTCTATGTTGTCTGCACTCCTATCCAGGTATAGGCGTCTGAAGCAATCTTTCTTCTCTTTAATCGCCTTCTGGACATCATCATTCCACCACCAGGTATCCTTATCTTCGCTTCTCCTTCCCCTGGACACTCCAAACTCCTCCGAGGCCACCTTACGAATGCAAGTCGCCATCTTCATCCACACATTGTCCGCATCCCCTCCTTCCTCCCAAGGGCCCTCCTTAATGACCCTCTCCTTGAACACCTGAGCTACCTCCCCCTTGAGCTTCCACCACTTCGTTCTAGCGACTTTGGCACGCTTATCCCGCTGGACACGAATCCGAAAGCGGAAGTCAGCAACCACCAGCTTATGCTGGGGTACAACACTCTCTCCAGGTATCACCTTACAGTCTAGGCACGCACGCCTATCTTCTCTTCTCGAGAGGATGAAATCAATCTGGCTAGAGTGTTGGCCACTACTAAAAGTCACCAGATGTGATTCTAAAGAGGGTGTTAGCTACAATCATGTTGTAGGCTAGAGCAAAGCTTAAGACATCTTCTCCTTCTTGATTCCTGATGCCATAGCCAAAGCCCCCATGCGCCCCTTCAAAACCCGTGTTAGATGCACCCACATGGCCATTGAGGTCTCCTCCTATGAAGAGCTTCTCACCAATTGGTACACTCCTAACCATGTCTTCCAAGCCTTCCCAGAACTCCCTCTTGGTGTTCTCATTGTGGCCTACTTGCGGGGCATACGCGCTGATAACACTGAGAACCAAGTCCTCAACTGCCAGCTTGACCAGGATAATCCGGTCCCCATGTCTCTTGACGTCTACCACTCCATACTTGAGGCTCTTGTTGATCAAGATGCCTACGCCATTTCTGTTCGCAGCCGTCCCTGTGTACCACAGCTTGAAGCCGGTATCCTCCACCTCCTTCGCCTTCTGTCCTCTCCATTTGGTTTCTTGGCCGCAAAGGATATCAACACCTCTCCTCACCGCTGCATCAACTAGCTCCCGAAGCTTCCCTGTCAGAGACCCTACGTTCCAGCTACCTAAGCGAATCCTCCTAGGCTCGGCTAGCTTCCTTACCCTTCGCACTCGTCGAGTCAAATGCGAAGACCCTTGCTCATTTTCCACTACATCCGGGCGCCGATGTAGCGCACCACTAAGGATGCGACGACCCGTTCCTCGCTCACTTGCCACCGTATCCGGATCAAGACACGGCGCGCCACTTGGGGGGTGACGGCCCGCAAGTAGGATGTGGAAAGCTTGTTCCTAAGTACCATAATTTGTAGAATTACGAGTGTGCCATATTTAGGTTTGCGTTAATGAGTGCAAACATAAGAAGAATTTTTTTTTGTCTAGTGAAGTCACAATACCAGTCTGATTATGAGAAACACAGTTCCAGTTTGACTGCTTCCAGTCAATTCTTGAACTTGATATTTCTCCATCTAGCTGTGTTGAACCTAACAAGACTATAACTTCGTTTATGGAGCCCGTGTGCCATTTGTTTTACATTTATTTGCTACATCCTGTTATGGATGGCACTAACTTTAATATCATTGCTTTGGGGCTACTTATATATCTTACAGGGGGAGAACACGAAAATGTCAGCTAGTGATCCAAATTCTGCTATATATGTGACCGATAGTACTAAATATATAAAGACAAAGGTATGTACTCAACATTGTTTCTTGTCTCAGAAAAACTATTTCCAAACAGTTACATGTTTTCAGCTGATCCTTGTTTGTGTGAGAGCATCTACAACCATGATGCACAACTCTGGCTCCTCAAACGTCCGCGAACATGCCCGGGCATGTCCGCTTTTAGTCCCTATTTGTTCATGCACACAACCATGCCCCTCATTTTCCCCCTATATGTCCGGTCACATGCATATGATTGGTGGAGAGGAAGAGAGAGAAAAGAAAGAAAGAATAAAGAAAGAGAAAAGGTGGTCCGCGGTGGCGAAATCTTACATGGCGCCCTGCCGAGACATGCCCAGACATCCCCATATATGGCTTGGATATGGGGATTTGTGCCCGAGCATATGAGGACAAAGTGGGCGGTCCGGCTGGGTGGCTTTTTTTCCTTCTCTCTCCTGTCCGGGGAGTGACCAGGCTGTCCGCCAGGACGCTTGGGGAGGATATGAGTGGTCCGTTTGTAGATGCTCTGAAGTGGTTGCTAGATTGAGCTGAGCACGGAATTTGTAGCCTGTAGGTCTTTGTTTTGTACTTCTATTTACTTCCCCATCATTTTCCAGGTGAATAAATATGCATTCTCAGGTGGCCAGGACTCTGTAGAACTTCATAGAAAACTTGGAGCTAACCTTGAGGTACACCCTTTTCCTGTTGTTTTGACACATACTAACAATAAATTGACACAGGTAAGCAAGCTTTTTTGGCGGCTTGATTCCATGTCCTATGCATCATTCTATCATGCATTTTTTTACTTAGAAGGCAAAACTTAAATTAGAATAAGTAATAATTTCAGTATATCAAGTAAAATTACCAGTTTCATAAAATATGAAGTTAGCAACATGCCCTTTGTTTGTAGTTTCGTCATTTATTGAAGCTGACAACATTGTATTTAATTGTAAATTGTGGAGCATTGCATCCTGCAATATTTCTCTAATGTGATGTGCTCCTTGCACAAGACAAAAGCAATTGGTAATTTTAATTGTTGTATTCAGGTTGATGTCTCAATTAAGTACCTGAACTTCTTCCTTGAAGACGATGATGAGCTCGAGCGCATAAAGAAGGTAATATTGCAAGATATTAGAACTACACTTTATAGCTACTTAGTTTCCAATTGGGCCGTGCTAATGTTGTGGAACTCAATATCAGGCGTACAAGGAAGGAAGGATGCTGACGGGTGAAGTGAAGCAGCTTCTGGTTACGGTTCTTTCTGAGATGGTTGAAAGGCACAAAAGAGCTAGAGCTCGAGTTACCGAGGAGGTATGCAATATCATATGTTATCACATTCATTTGGTCTTGTACATAACAGGAGGCGCGTAGCTGCACTGTGCAAACATTGATAAAAAAAAATGCAAACACTGATAAAAAATAGATTCACACATATGTCTTCTGCCAATTTAACGATGTCCTGTTTACACAGATGGTCGACGCCTTCATGGCTGTGAGGCCTCTTCCCAACATGTTTGGCTGAGCATTGGGTGGGAAGTTCATACCCTTTCTGTGTGGATTTTATTGAATTCCAGGAGCAACATATGAAGTTTCAGGATTTAGTTGTAACTATTAATGTCAACCTGGCCGCTCAATCCTGTATGGCAGCCACTGATTTTGCAAAATCAGCATGTGATATGTTTGTTTTCAAGCTTGCTCGATCACTGCAAAGATTTCTATTTATTGGAATTAGGGAACACACACGTGTTTTTTTTGAAACCGAGGCAAAAGATTTGCCTCGTATATTAATTAAGAGGGGAGAGAGTACAACACATGGCAGTTACAACTTTGCTTGTCAGATTGGGACATACAACGTAAAAAGACTACTCTCGCGGCATGATGTCGTTCAGCTGTCTTGCTCCGGCGGTGACCCAAGTCTTGGCCTTGTCTTTGATGAGTTTGAGAATGTAGAACGGCGGTGTGGACTTCTTCCTGAAAACCCGGCCGTTCCAAATAGTCCAAGTGACAAGCATAGTGAGCGTGGCCCTGGCCTTATGATGAAAGAGATGTCAATGTTCATCGACCAACTTTTCACGGTGTGTTCAGATGACAACCGGTCCATTTCCAGTTCTCCCAACCCAAGCCATTCCTTAATCATCCTCCATCTGAGCAGGGTAAAGCGGCATTTGTAAAAAAAAGTGAGGCGCCGTCTCGTTGGCCCTTCTGCAGATGGTGCAAAGTCCACAATTTTCCCATCCTTGTTTCTGAAGCCTATCTGATGTCCAATGCTTTCCACCAAGAGCTAGCCACGAGAAGAATTTAACCTTCGGAGAAGCCCAAACTTTCCAAACCACACGGTTCATGGAGGTTAACATCGATCCCAAGAATTGCGCCCTATATGCCGAAGCCGCCGAGAATTTGCCGCTAGGATGGAATTTCCAAGTTATGTCATCCTCTACCTCCTCAGAGACAGGTTCAGGAGACAGATCAGCTCCCTCCCGAGACGCAACAGACCAACATGGCGTGCCACTTGCCTCCTCGTCTCCTGGTGCCTCTGTAAAGAGCGCAACGCACGAGTCTTCGAAGGGAAAGCCTGCTATGTGAACCAACTGGTTAACAAGATATCTGACGAGGCAAGGTGTTGGCTGTTCGCTGGACTGACGCCGATGAGCAAATTTTTCGAGCCGCCATGAATTACCTCACTAGCCGGCTGTAACTAGACATGGTGGCCGGCGCCATGCACTGGCAGTACGTGTGAACTAGGAGTAGAGCTTACGTCTGTAACCATTTGTATGGGTTTTCAACCTCTTTCTTCATCAATGAGAATCAGCATCTACCTGTTTTCCGTCAAAAAAAAGAGAAGCTGGACATGTTCAAGGTGAATCCAAAGGTCGATGAACTGGACAATGTGGTCTACCGACAGAATGGTAGTCGAATTAAGCTTGTGGACCCACGAGTTTTCCCTCATAGCCTCCCGGACGGTCCAGTTCTTACGCTTGGAGGCAGCAAAAATAAGGGAGGCAATCTCCTTCGGTACTTTTCTGGCTGAAACACAGCCTCCTCAAATGATCATAGCACTGTCTCTACAAGCTTCCTTCTGTATTATGGTTATGTCAGTACTACCAAAATACGAATTTGAAAAATCTGCAGGGCAATACCCTAAGTTACCAATATTTTTTTTGTGATGCCATGTTCAAACACAATCAGAACAACGCTGGGAGGGAAATATAACTCAGAAAAAATATACTCGACAGAATGTAATACTTTCAAATATCTGAAGTTTGATCTTTGCTGGATTGTGATTTGCTATCATTCTTTTCCTTTGCAAAAAGAATTCGAAGCTTTTTTCACACAAGCCTCAGTACAGGATTATAACCAAAAAATATACTCCCTCTGTAAAGAAATATGAGAGCATTCAGATCACTAACTTTAGTGATGTAAATGCTCTTATATTTCTTTACGGAGGGAGTATATCAGAAACGACCAAAAATGAAAGAACATGACCCTATAGAAGAATACCTGCTTCAGCAGGGTAATACCCTAAGTTACCAATATGCTTTTGTGATGCCATGTTCAAACACAAACAAACAACGCTGGGAAATATAACTCAAGAAAAAATATACTCCCCAGAATGTAACACTTTCAAGTTTCTGAGGTTCTTGGCATTTGATCTTCGTAAGAAAATATACTTTCAGTCTTTTCCTTTACAAAATGATTTTCAAGCTTTTCATATAAGCCTCAGTACTGGATTAACCGAAAAATATATATGATCAGAAACCGACCAAAAATGGAAGAATGCGACCCTAGAGAAGAGTCCCTGCTTCAGCGCTCGTCATCTCCATACCACCTCCGGAAGCCCACGCTGCCGGGCCTCTTGTTGCTGCCTGAACCTGATTTGTCAGACCCGCCACCCCTTTCACTCCGAAGCAATTCGAACTCCTTTTCAAGGGTTTCCATCTTCTGCAGCCGTTGTTGAATCTCTGAAACTCCATCCTGCCAATTCGGCAAAGGGAAAACTCATATCATCATCACTCCTATCCCAAGAATGTGAAGGAGTTCTCTATTTTCGTATTCGACAAACTCATCAAAACCTAGAGCATGGTTTCTGACCCTTCCCGAAGAACCTTTACGTACCTCGAGTTTGGAAGCCCTCGCTGCTTCGTCGGAGAGTTGATCGCGGACTGACTGGAGTTCCTGCACAGCAGACAGCACATAAAACTTGATCACATTGAGCTTAGGGAAAGTTTCTTCTTGAAAAGTAAGAGAGCATAGTCCTAACACACAAACTGACGCTATTTCATTTCCACCTTGGTATACTTCTCTCTCTGTGTGTAAATGTTTTTCACTGTAAGGTTCTGTTTGATAAACTGAGGCTTCACCTTTGAGACTCCAATTCAAGCATAAACATATGAAAAATAATGCTACTATGCTGACAACCTATAATTCCTGAGATACAGTGATTTGAGTTTGATTTTCTGAAGCTCGGGGCCTTAGATATTTGAATAGAAATCATAAAAAAGAACTGACTAATTCTATATGGAGATTATATTACAGATAACTTCAGCACACAAGTAGTAGTGCCCTAGGAAAAATTATGGAATTTCCTGAAACAATTACGTGAGTGTGCTATAGCTTACCTTAGTAAGCTCCGCATTTTTGTTCTCTACATCAGCTAGTTCCTTCTTCAGGTGGAAGCTCTGCAGCTTTTCCTGTTCAAGTTTTTCTTCTACCTGGCTCTTCTCATGCTTTACTGCTTGCACCAAGGTTTTGCTGATATCTACTCCCTTGTTATTCTGAAAATGACAGAGAGAAAAAGCGTTAACCATGGTTTCAACAAGCAGCCACAAGCTTAAGATATTACCTTGTCATCTCGAAGTTCTTCAATTTCGAATATTGGTCCCCTGCTAGAATTTACTTCTGCAGATAATGGGGTCATGCCATTTGTCTCGACTTCATCTATTCGTGAAGACGACACACTTGGTCTGAGACTTGTCTTCAGAGCATAAACCTAAATACAAAGAATGCTCATCTAAATATAAAGATATAGATAAGAAAAATTAAACTGATGACAGAGGAACATGCCTCGTTGCTGTAACGTCCACTGTATCCTCCAAATGACAACAGAAAGTCTTCTCCATTAATTGTGTGAAGTACTAAACTCGATCCCTGTGGTGAAGGAGATTACGGAGATCAGCGACAGCTTGGGTGCATAACACCATAGAATCACAATTAACTAATATTATAATTACAGTTAGCAGTACGACCATGTTAACTTCACTATTACGCATGGATTATGAGTACAAGGACTAGTCAAGACTAGTCTATGAGTCTCAACTTCAGGGCCGACTAGACTTCAGTGTCGATTAGTCTATGAATCACAACTTCAGTGTCGACTCGTGTCGATTATTCACGCTTAGTCTATGAGTCTCAACCTCGGAACGACTCATCGACTCGTAAACCTTGCTATTACGAGTTCCTTAAAGGCTTAGACTCATATAACATTGTTTTCATGAATCTAGTTGGAATATTCAATTTGAACTTCTTGAACCAAAAGACCCTTTCTCCATTTATCCAAACTGTTCAGAGAGTTTCCAAGTAACTATGCGGAACATATACGATGTTATGCAAAATAAAAGTTCACATTGCTTTACAAATTGAAAATAAGAATAAAAATGGCTAACCTCACTTGTAGGGGGAGCACGGCCTTCAAAACTAGTAACAACCGACCATACCAAAGTAGACATGTTAAGCACAAGCGTTTCTGGAACACCTGCAGTGCATTAGGCACATGTGAGTGATAACAGTTTTGTGAGCTGCTTTTAGAAATGGAACAAAGTGGAATAACCGATTATAGATGGAAGGGAGCTACATTCATTAGGTTACCAAATAGCGGAAACAAACGGACGCAGTAATGTAAAAAAAATCATAATATTTCAACCTTACCTTTCTTACTATTACCACCACCAGTGATAACCCAGTTATCGCCAACCGTTACGCCTGCATGCCCTGCTCTTGGTTCTGGAATTATACCGTGCTGCTTTGGTCTTGACCATTCCATCTGCAATTAACGGTAGGTGACTGGTTTGGAATTGCAAATGTACAATACCAGCGCTAGACAGAAGTCTCACTGTTTGCATGTCAAGGAGATATAGATCACTGAAACATGTAGAATGAGATCCCCCACCAAATATCAAGAGATACCGGTCTGCATAGCATGCAGCAGCATGCTCTGACCTTGGAGAAGGAGGAGTGCCTCTGTAACAAACAATTGTTAGATATCAATCTTGCACCTAAAAGCAGAGCCGGTTAATGCGTTTACTGCAAGTTTTATTTCATGTTCTAAATAAAGTATAATAATTGCCAACTACAAGTGACACGTGCTATAGCATTTTCACATAACTTTGAATTTTATTTCTCCACACACATATATATATGTAAGAATACCCATCTAAGAACTTTTTAACTTCATTTGTGCAATTTTAACAAATCCGCTCCATTTTGTTTACATCGATCAAACCAAATCCACAGAACTTACGTGCTCTCAAATTCATCCCAAGTCATGGTTTCGAGATCAAGAACGTGCAGCTCGTTCAGAAGAGACCTCCCACCACCTTCACCTCCAAACACAACTAAAGTGTCCCCAACACGAGTCACTGATTGACCACCACGTGAGCTCTAAACAAAAAGGAAAAGTACCATAAGATACATATTGACCAAAAAGAAGCAGCCTTCAGGGAAAAGGGGTGGAAACTTGCGACCCAATTGAACAGCATAAATACAGATTAAATATACATACCGGCGACTTCCCATAAGTACGCAAAATTGACCAAGTGCTGGTTTGCGGATCAAACTCCTTTACTGGTACAACATTGAGTAAAAAATATTAAGTTCTGGCATGACAAGATAAGAAGAGAGAAAAATGAGCGATGTATTAGGCTAACCACTGAGACTCTCTGTATGTTCCCTGGTGTGTCCTGCAACTGACAGAATCTTGTTTCCGGATGGAATCTACAGGGATTAGAAGACAGACGCAATCTGATAAAGTTATAATTACAACCATTGGAAAGTATACCAGTTTCACATCACTGATAACTACAAAGAGTACTTGATGATTACCAGTGAATGACCAGCACATGGAGCAACTAAAACTGGTTCAGCCGATTCTGATTGAATTTTAGCTTCTAGCTTTGACCATGACAAACTTTTGAAATCCAGAACCTTCGAGCAAAGAAGGATTCCATTGTTAAGTTGTGTGCCATCTTCTCAAAATATAGGAACAGGGGGTAACCCCCAAGGCAAGTAATTAAGGAAATCTAGGGCTCAACTAAAGGAGTAACAATTCCTCCCTAGAAATTCAATGACAAAAAATACAGGTAACATAGCTGAAGGCACAAGCAGCCCCTTCCACTGAGAATCATAATGACTAGTGTACCTGAATGTCACCAAGGTAACGGCCATTGTGGTTTCCACCAAAGACATACATCTTTTCCTGAACTACGGCAGCTCCATGCTGCAGAAGGTAATTGGAGCCAGTATGTCAGAGCCATCAAGTGAAAACAGCCCAGCACAAGATCATAAGGTATATAAAAGTTACATAAATAAAAATAAAGACCTTGTATCGAGGTTTGGGACGCTGTCCTGGGACTGAGAGAGGCGTCCACTGATCGTAAGCGGCCACAGAGCAGAGGCCTTCCATGGTGACCTCCTTGTCCTGAACATCAACCATCTTCTCGTTCTCCGCCACGACTACTTTAGGCTCTTCAGGTTTGAAATGCAGTGGTTCTTGTATGCTCTGACAAGACGAGAAGGAAAAACATGGTTGATACATTACAAATCAGTCATGATCAATTCAAGAAGATTAGCACAAGCGCTCACTAAGTGGCATCACTAAGCAGGAGAGAGACGCCACGCAGCCAAAAGCTGGGATCACGAGCTAGCACGCAGCCGAGCGAAGCCACAGCCATTCACTGAGCCCATGTACTAGTGCGAGCAACTCACCGGCATCCCTGGCAGCAGGTGCTCGAAGTCGAAGGTCCCGTGGATCCCCCGCTCGCGTTCTCCCAAGCCTCGGGATCTGGAGGAGGCGGGGAGGGCCGCGGCCCGTGGAGGCTTCTAGAAGGTTCGAGATCTGGACTACACTCTAACTTCGGCAGAAGCTTCTAGAAGCCTCGAGATCTGGCGGGGGGAGAGGGGAAGAGGACCGCTGGCCGCTGCTTTCACCCTCCGGCGACCCGCGCAATGGGAGATGACGAGGGGGAGCGGCGTGCCTCGTGATCCGTGCAGATGAATCAAAGATCGGGGCCGTAGGGACCGTTTGATTGCGACGGAAGCTTCCTCCACATCTGGTGGGTCACTTCAAATGCGTGCAGTGCAGCTCAGAATTTCCTGCCAACAATATTCGTTTTCTTCTTAGGCCCCTCCCAATGCTCCATCTTGTACAGGTGTTAAGGTTGCCAACTAAGTAAAAAATATGATGTGGCATGGTAGTTAGGAAGAGAGAGAGTAGTACTTTCTCCGTTTTTATTTAGTTCACATATTAGCTTTGGTCAAAGTCAAGCTTTACAAACTTTGACCAAATTTATATACAAAAATATTAAGATATACAATAATAAATCAACAACATTAGATTTATTATTAAATGTACTTTCACATCGTATAGATTTATTATGATAAATGTCTATTGTTTTCTATAAACTTGGTCAAACTTTACGAAGTTTGACTTCAATCAACTCTAATATGCAGAGTAAATAAAAACGGATGGAGTATGGTGACCCCAGGAAGAAACGAGTACCTAGGTGGAAGCACAATTCTGAGTCTACAACGAATTAAATGCATGAAGCTTAGCACCCAAAAGCTTAGCACCTTTGCATTGTAGGCATTTAATATGCTTAGCACCTTATCTAAGCACCTTTGCATTGGGAGAGGTCTGATATCTCTTTCTAGAAACAACTTTGTAAACTGAAAAACAAATATATTTCTAACTACAATCTCTGTGCATGATTTATTTTTACATGTAGGACCCATCGATTTGCCACGTCACAACTGACCCAAAATGGCATATGCGTTTTGAAAATGCGACAAAACACGAAAAATGTAAAAATAAAAAACGCTCATTTTTATTTAGGCAACACGGCAATGTACGGTTTCCAGTTTCCATCACCATCTCAGGCTTTCAGCTCAGCAGCAGCAGTAGCAACAACAACAAGAAAGAAAATAAACCTACGAAAACACTATGAAGAAACTTGTCTGTCCAGTTGTCCTCTAAGCAACTCATTTCGGGAGCATGAACAATCTCCACCATGTTGACAGATCCGCTCAAAGGTCCCGCCGTTCGTCTTTCTTTTCGGTGCCTTCATCCTGCGGCAACGAGACAAACTGCACGATTCCATGGACCACAGAGGCTTCGACTCTGAACCTCGAAGCGATCTGGTCCACACTCATCGGGCCGCGGTGGCTACTGGACTTTCCTTGGTACAGCTGGATGATCTCCTGGATGTGCCCGACGTTCAGGGTTCCTGGAGGTAGCTGCCTGCTCTGCCCGGGTTCGGGTTCAGATGTTCTCACCTTAGGAAGCGGCCTGTTGTATCGCTCTACGACGGAAGCCTGCAAGCACAAGCCTCTGATTAGATCACTTCTCCCGAAAAACTAAGGAAAGTTCAGACTCAATAGAATGGTTGTTTAAGCTCAGCTCTTTATAGGTTTATGCAGTGCAATGCAATGAAATCATCAAGGGGACTATGGTATTTTAGCCCAGGGAGAACAATGTAACATCACATGACTCACTTCACCCATTTCTGGCTTTCCTCCAGGCTTAGTAGTGATTCTCCCAACCATGTGCTTAAGCATGTCATCATAACTTGGATCACGTTCTACAAGTACACCGTGGGCATCTTTTGTTGATGGTGTAACAGCTGCAGTGCATTTTCAATAGATAAATAAATCATACACTGATAAATGAAACATTGACAACAGCAATTTGAAACCTATTGCAAGGTCACAGTGCTTTGGTAAATGCCAATAAAGCTTGCACTGAGACTATGTCAAAATCAAGATGGTGATGTAGCCCATAAGCTTATTTAGAAAGAAAAAAAACTATGGTTCCATTGGACCTAAGAAAAGAAGACGCAACTTTTCATAAGGGGTATCAGTTCTTTGCCAGCTATTATCATGCAGAGTAAAGAAGAGGTATAACAGCACATCAAACTTTACATGTTCCATCAGTTTTCACGGCCAAGAAAATTATGATTGAATGAAGCCTACTACAATAGCCAAATCAGCTCAAATACTGAGTTATTATTCTGAACTCCCTGGTGCTCCATAATCCAAATCAACTCAAATATTAAGGAGTTATTACTCTATTCTTGGCTCCCATTGAAATCATTACCCCACTACAAAGAAACGTGTCACATTTACAAGTCATGTCACCCTTATAGTTAGAATTTTTATATATGATGAAATTTTCAGCCTACCAAATAAAATAATTAATTGTAGAAAGGTTTTACGCATTTGTGTGTTCCTAGTCGAATCTAGGTAGTAAAGAAACATTCAGGCGCCATCTCCCGAGAGTTAGACATCCACAACTAGACCCCTCACCCCCCCACCCCCACACACACACACAAATACGCCCGGACGACCCGGTCACG